CAAAAAAAAAAAAAAAAAAAAAAAGGTACAGCAACTTTCTTTCAGCACACATCACCATGTTCCCATTGCAACACGGTGGTGTGAACCAATCAAGTCCGTGACAAGGCAAATTGCCTTGTCTTGCATTGGGGCTGAGCTGAAGATACTGGCCAGCATAGCCCAAACGCATCTGGTGTGAATTGGCCCTCAATGTCCTCACGTCTATACACAAACGGAGGGAGGGGGGCACTCTAGGGATCGCTCTAAGAATAAGCCTGCTCTGAGCATCAGGGGAGTATAACTTTTTTTTTTAACCTAGTCAAAAACTAGCAGTTAACCCTTGCAGTGCAGGGGAAGCCCCACTGGAAAAGTTAAAAATGTTTTCCTGAGGTTCTTCTTTAAGGTCACTGCTGCTGGGAAAAATGTCTAGCGAAAAGAGAAATGAAGGACCAATTTAACAAATAACGTTTTGTAAAAGCGTATGTTCTGAAACCATGGATACAGCAGCCCACACACTATCACAGCATAGAAAAGTTAAAAGCAAATCAATTCAGTAATTCCTTACTTATGATGTGCAAATCTTTCTCCAAATCGAAGAGCGAAATGCCACAGGCATGCAAACATTTCCGAGCCAGTTTAAGTTGTAACTCTTGCTGTAAAACAGGCTCTGTGCTGGTAGCAAATATTCGAACAACAAATCCATCCTGCAGAAGAGAAACATTTTAGAATAAGTATAAACAAACCCTTCAGCACATAATGTATACAACATTCAATAAGTGCTGGTAAGACAAATAATCCAAAAGGCAAAATTGTCTTCTGCAAACAAAAAAAAACAAAAAATCTCTGAAGTAGAACATTAGGTTTCCAAATGAAAATCATCAAAATGAGGACTTTCAAGCAGAGCAATGGCCTTGAAAAAATGAAGGCTGGCCACACACCTATGGATTTTTTTCATTGAGCCTCTGGGCTGAGGAGAACAAAAAAATATCTAACTGATTTCTCCATTTAGGCCTCATTCACACTGCGCGATTCGCAAATCGCGCGTTTGTCGCGTGATTTGCATTTTGCGCGATGTTGCATTGAGCAAGCGAGAATCGCTGCAAAATCCGCTCCAAAAAGGGTCCTGCTGTAGCGACACACGACCCGCGACAGCAGGACCCTTTGCCCCATTGCAAAGCATTGAAGAGCGATATCGCGCGGTAAATAGCTGCGATATCGCGGGAATTACTGCGCGATAAATCGCTCAATGTGAACGGGGCCTAACTCTCAATAATGTTGATAGAGTAATCTCCCACAACATCTATTGTAATTGCACAGTCATGCCCTCCAAAAGTTAAAATACCTGAACAGTGCCTGCATCTGATTGGCTGAAGTCATTGTTAAAACAACAGTTTTTTGTCCAACTCCTTCAATTTTTCAATCGAAGGATGTCGGGCAGGAAGCAGCACACAGGACCACCCACTAAGCAAATTTAAAAGGGACACTAAACTCAGGAGTTAAAACCTTAACCAGTTGACATCCGCGGTGTTAAACCCCCTTCCCATCCAGGCCATTTTTATGTATTAGTAAACTAAACTGAGATTGTAGTCCATCAGGGGAGCGAGCTTGGAGCGTTGGCTACATTACAACACACACAGTGACCATGGGGAACAAACGTAGCCCCCCTCCAGAAGGAAAGACAGTGACAGCACCAATTCAGAGATGATTTGAGGATCCACAGCCGAGTGATACACAAAAGGCTACATTTTTGTTAATACTTGCATGGAGTTGAATGCATTTTTAAGGTTTAAGTCCTGAGTTAAGTGTCACCTTAAGCCAGTTCATCAAGTAAAGGCCAAAATTTGCTTAGAATGGCCAGCTTAAGACTTTAAAGCAACTTTTTCTTACATTTTCTTACATTTAAAAGGACCCCATCAGGAGAGTAATATAGAATCTACCTTTGCCAATTTGTTTTTGAAAGTGACTAGGGGATTGGCATTCTTAGCCTTGCTTTACTAAATGGTGGGTCACTTACCTGTCACAAGTATAGGTGTATAAAAGTGGCAGGACACCCGATTTACATATGCTTGTTCCAAGTCAGAGACTCACCCCTACTGAAGCTAGGATAGGGATGACAGCCCTGGAGCCTGCCCCTGCCCCTGGAGGAGCAAGTCAGCAATAGCAGTTCCACTATCCATATCCTGACAGATTCCTAAAAATCTATAATGCAATGCAAGCACTCTTGGATGTCTGCACGCACATAAAGAAGGTTTTACGTAACGAGCCTGGAAGCATCCGATATGCCAACCTAAACTTATTCTGAGAAAGAAGACGGCTAGTGTGCCCTTTCCAACATTTCTCTGCTGAGGATTGAGAAACCTCTGAAAATTTTCAGAATTCCATACCAGAGTACCTTGGTTTTTTGAGGTTCCCAAGGCACGGAAGACTAAATAATGCTAAAGATGTGTCAGGAACCTACAAGGTATCTGTATTACAAATTGGAAGCCACTTGACAAGTTTTACAACAAGGAAAGGGTTGCTTTGAGAAGCATGATAAATAAAACCATTACAAAAGCAACAACTTCTTTTATGTGATTTTACACCTTGGATATAAAGAGATACAAGGTGTGCAGCAGCTGTATCAAACAGTTAAACACCCACAAGCCAACGAATAATTCATACATGAAAACTGAAAAGCAAGCTTTCACGATAAATCCCGAACAATGTCCCCAAAAAATGATTTAATGTAGTCTGTTGAATACAAAATAGTTGCAAAAGCTACCAGTTTATCAACTACTTTGTCAATTCAGGTGGTTTTCAAAGTACATGCTTTTATACGATCTGCTAGCCCCACAGAGTTGGGGCCCACTGACATCATTGTGCATTATATGCCTGTTGGTTCAATGAAGTGCCATTCACTTGCACTGAGGTGCGCTGCCGAAAATGCTGCATGCATGTTTGTTTTTTGTGTCCGTTGTGGAGCAGGCATTTGAATGGTCTGACCTAACCGGGCTGGTGTGAATGAGCCCTTAGATTTTATTGCATATATGATCTGTTAAATCAACAAAGCTTACCAAATACTGAGCAGTGTAAAAGTCTTCTCGATCAGGTAGAATTTAAAGTGTTTGTGTATACACAGCCGTAAGAAATCTGGTAACATTTTTAAAGAAGAACTCCGGGCATTTTAAAAACATTCCCTTGCAGGGGGGCTACCACTTATTATTCTCTAGGGGCTGGAAAAAACAAAACACATATACTCACCTGATCCTCAGTCCTGTAGTAATCACCTCTCTCCCTCGCTGCTCCAGTTTTTGGAATGTCCCTTGGCTTCCTCACATCTAATGCAAGTCAATAGACCTGCATTAGACTTGGTGACATCAGCAGGTTTTGGAGCGCCGGAGCCCAGGGGAGAAGAGGCTGCAGGATGCAGTCTAGCAGCTTTGCGACATTGAGGATCAGGCGAGAGAAAAATAAGCACTTAACACTTGCGGTTGCCTCACTGCAAAGGAAATTTTTTAAATCCTACATTTCTTCTTTCATCAAATCCAAAGCAAAATGCGTACATCATGCTTAGGGGGAAGACTGATTTATGCAGGTCAAAGCTATGATTGTCTGAAGCTGGCCACACACCTTAAGATTTTTCTTGTTTAATCAAATAACACTAATAACCCATCCGAGCTGTGGATGGAGGAATATTCCCTGTCGGCTCTCAGCATACACGCAGTCGCTCTTCGGCGAATACAATTTTCCACCATGCTTGACAACATTTATTGAAAAATCATTGATTGTCGAGCTGAGTGGTGCTGACAAGGCCACCCATGAATTACATTTTGATCAATTCAGCAGGAAATGGTCAAAACTTGATCTGTATACATATTTAAAATAATGTCTCTCACCTCTTTAGAAGCAGCGATTTGGTTGACAAACTCCCCGTCAGTAAAGAGTATGTTCTGGCCATCAGCATTACAATCTGAATTGTGAAGGAAATACAGACAATTAAAACCATTCTAAGAACAATCTGTAAAGCATAAACAGATATGAGGATGTATGCTGTACCAAAGCTAAAATGATCCACTGAGAAAGTTAGGGATGAAAACACAAATCAGCCTACCTGGCACAGTTACCGTTCCATCCTGTTCCAAAGTCTCTGGGTTAATCTTTATGGCTGTCATACTGTGATTGCTCACATCTCTGTAGAGCAAATAACCCTAAAGTAAAGCAGATAAATACAGCATATTTTGAGCTATCATGAAATCTTCCATCAGAATTTAGTCTAAAAAAATAACAAAACATTAAAACAGCTGAACTCTGTGTCCAAAATACTGGCAGAGGGCGAAGGACTAGTCACAGTACTGCATGTGGTCTCTGTGCAGTTGTTCTTCCCCCATTACTGTCTAACCATGTCTTGTTCTGCACCGTGTCTATGCGGAGACGGCCATCTTTGTAGTAGTAGGGCTTTGCTTCCTCATATTAGAGCCTCCAGCAAGGAGAACAGTGAGCAGTAAAGTACTGACATCAAATCTGACTCCAAATCTTCACTTTTTGGAGTTTTAGTTAGAAAAAAAAACCTGCTTAATCATAGCATGTCATCACTCCACCATCTTGCTGTAATAAGGCATTAGCTACTAGATAAGCTTGTGTAGATGGGCAAAGTCTGCACTCTTTTAGCTGCATGCAGCGTGCATTTGAGATTAGCTTAAGATGCTTTTAGTTCCATCTGACTTCCTTCACAAGTGCTTATGACCTGCATTTGTAAACTGTGCAGAGCTGCTCCAAGCTGCTTTTGTGGGACAAAAATAAGTCCATATGAACAAAAGACTCTGTACGCAAGCCATTGTAGTGAAAGTTCTTCATAGTGCCTCAGTGCACCAGAATGCTATTATGCATGATATGACCATGTTTCAAAGGTCTTTCTATTCAGTTTAGAAATGCTTCCCTGTTATTATAAGAAAAGGCCTCCACTAAGTGCTGCTTTGGTTTAGTTACACATTATTACTGTGGATTTAACTCCTTTAACGTCACACTACATCTAATAAAAGCGACCTAATGGTGACTGAAATGCTGCCATTGTACTGGGAGAGGACAGTGAGTCACCAACTGTCTTAATCTTAAACATTACTGGTCCATCAATCCTTGCACAGGTCATACACATGAATGTGACAATGGCATGAACAAAATGAATGGGACTCTTAACCTAATCATTTGTTGCACAACCTTTAGAGACAATCACTGCAAATATATGATTTTTGTATCCCTCGATGAATCAGTTACACCTGCCAAAGGCTAGTTTGGCCCACACTTCTTGAGCAAACTGCTCAGGCTGTCTCAGGTTTGAAGGGTGCCTTCATCAGACTGCAAGTTTTCAGCTCTTTCCATAAATGTTTCATAGGATTCAGGTCAGAGCTCATAGAAAGCCACTTCAAAATAATCCAATGTTTTGTTCTTAGCTAGCCATTCATTGGAGCTGTTTTTTTAGGTTGTTATCCTGTTGGAGGACCCATGACCTGCCGCTTAGACAGAGTCTTCTGCCACAAGGCAGTACGTTTCACTCTACAATTCCTTCATAGTCTTGGAATTTCATTGTGCCCTGCACAGCCTAAAGGCACCCAGTGCCAGACCTAAAAGAGCAGCCCAAACACAGAACCGAGCCTCCTCCATGTGTCACAGTACTAGTAGGCACTGGGTTTTGTTTTGTTTTTCCAAGTCATTATTTCATCTGAACATAGAGCTGATGTGACTTGCCAAAAAGCTTCAGTCTTGTTTCCTCAGTCAGGACATTCCTCAGAAGCATTGTGGCTTGTCCACATGCATTTTAGTAAATTCCAGTCGGCCTTTTTTTAGTTTTTTCTTTCGATAATTGAGTTTGCCTTTGAGCCCAGTGTCACTCAAAAAAGGGATAAATGGTGCAATCGGAGACTGCTGTACCCTGACCTTGGAATTCAACTCCCATCTCTTTGGAAGTTTTTCTTGAATCTTTGTCTACCATTTGCACTATCTTTTTGTTCAATCCGGGTCAATTTTCCTCTTGTGGCCACATCTAGAGTAGTTGGCTACACTCCCATGAACCTTAAACTTCATAATTTTTGCAACTGTACTCGCAGGAATGTCAGATGATCTTAAAGCCTTCAACTTTGACAGGCAGGTCTAAAAATTTTCTGTCATCAAACTCCTACTTTTCACTACTTTCATTTTTTGACTACATTTCATAATTTCAGTAAGTTGACGGACAGATTATAAGATCAAGGCATGTGTGATATGAATTACAGAAAACAAACAGTTAGCTTGAAATATCCCCATGATCCAATTATTTATAGTTTAGGGGTAGTAACAAATCTCTCCACGCCATTTTAGAATAATAATTTATCCCTTTTCACACTTCTTTTGCTTTACTCTATAAAATACTAAAGGCAAGCAGGTATATATGAAACATTTGCTTTTAATTTAGTAACTTTGCATGAGGAGTGAAGCATTGTTTTGAGGAGCTGTAAGAGTACCAACAAATTGGTCCGCAGCTGTATATGGCCTCTAATGTGTTGAATGTTATGATCTTTTATCAACTACTGCACACAGGGAAAACCTTTTAATGTACCTGAGCATAACCTAACCAAGACGACTTCTCTCTTCTGCTCTTGATGCGGGATGTGGAATTGTATATGTGGCCCTGCAAATATAAACACATATAGGTTTTTTACACTGATTTAAATAAAAATACAATTGCTTCTGGTGCCATACTACAGTATATATTCACAGGCCACCTTTTAAATACTGCAACCAAATACATGCCCTAAAATTACCATAAACCTCTTCATTCAATATAGGTTTGAAACAAATTCACCAGAGGTAATCATGACCAAAGAAAGATTTAGTACCCAAAAGATCAATACAGCAAATTAAATATAAGTATATGGTTTGGCAGCAAGATCTCATTGATCTTTCTGTCCTACCAAGAGATATATAGGTAAAATATATCATGATAAAGCAGCAAATCTATGAAATTCAGGTCACCGAGTGTTCATTGTAAGTCCTCACTTCATTTACTAAAAAAAAAATACATAGGAATAAAACATGACTATCCAAGTGCCCTCCCTGGGCCAGCAAGGCAGACAATACACAGATAATACTCACCCTTACTGTCCCGCTGTATCCAGAACCAATTTTGTAAAGGCCATCTTTGCATAAAAGATAGAGGAAAAAGCCATCGCTCTGAAGGAGGCACTGATCATCTTCAACGACTGGGATATCTTTCAGAGACCATTTTTGCATCAAGGAAGCCTTTTTAATCCCACTTGTAAACCAGTCCTGGATCTGAATTTTACCCACCAGAACCGCTTGAACACTCCGCTGCAGAGAGTTCAAGATGATTGGCACCTGTCATATGAAAACAATAAAAAAGGATTACTGTTGGAAGGTAAGGGGGGTAGATAAAAGAAGTTACTATATTTTTACCATATAGTAAACATGACAATCTGAGTCTTAGATAATAGGTGTTCGTTGGTAATTCAAAGAGAGAAAAACACAGAGGCGGATCATAAGTGCCATGCTCATACTTCAGTAATCCCTGAACGATTCAGCACAATTAGATTTCTGCACATGCAGATATCGAAATATAAAATGGACATGTCCAGGGAGGCATATACTGTACATTGTACTGTATATGTTATTTCAAACAGACTGCGATATACCACAGTTCACCAAGTCACACACATATATGAACCATCAGCCTCACTGCTAACACATCTGCCAATGCTACAAAAAAATTGCCTTCAGCAACACAGAAAGTACTAAGAATTCCTAAAAAAAACAAAAAAAACCTGCCAAATATGATGATTAGACTGTACAGGTCAGAAATGAAAACATAAGCAGGCTTTTGTTACTTAATCAAAAACAATTACCACACTTCAGCATAATCATAATGCGTCATGCTTTTTATTACCAGTTATTCTTGTAGACACTGGAATCATGAATACATGGAGTTGGGGAATCCTTTAAGGGAACATGCACTTCTTCTATTCCTTGTGTGGCCACAAAGGACAGGATTAGAATGTGATCTGTAGTAGCAGCGCAATGCTCTTTAAGAACCGTAGATTTAAAGTGAAAAGGCACCATGTCCTTTGAGTCAAATCAAAAACTCAAAATTCCTTGATGAAAATTTCTAGGAAAAGTAAAAATTGTGTTTTGGACTCATCCCACCATGACCATGGTATACCACCCCCCCCCCCCCCCCTCTGCATCCCCAAACGGC